CTACCTTAAACCACAAAATATGAATATGAGCAAAATATGAACGATTGGATATATGGGTGAAACAAAAACAGGCAAAAAAAACTTCGTCACAAAAATAGCAAGTGGGAATAAACTTTCCGTGCAATACAACTGAACATTTTCTCTTTCTAAATAATGTCCATCACTCTAACACCAGCATTCAAGTGGTATTAAATTCAGCTCTAAAATCAGGATAGTTGTCTTATGGTAAAGATAGCTCTGGTAAATTTGAGCAGGAGTGCTACTGGACGACGGCTTATACCAGACAGCTTGACAAATTATGTGTTTAGAGGATCCTCAGACATCAGATCATATCAAGTGATTAAAGCAGAAAGCTCTTCAACAATTATCTATCAATTTCACGTATATACCTCTGTAAATGGTTCCCCACTTTTTCTTTCTTCTGTATTCATTTGGTCTGGAAACTGTAACTGATTTTCATTTCTCACTGCAGTGGGCTTTGTGATCTCATAGAACTTGCTGATCTTATTGCCACAAATGACTGGAAACTGGTGGAAGTATTTTTCTCCAACAGTCTGCAACAAACCTCGGTTCTTGTATAATCTCTTTGTAAGCAATTTCCAAAATAAATTCACGCATAGCATCAGCACGTTCAGCAACGTTCATAAAACTGAGTCCAAAAGACGGTGAAACACTCCCCAAATGGCCCCACTGCCAACTGTCTGCACCATGACTGAACTGTCTGGCAATACCAATCTTATATCAATGTCTTCTGCCAGGATACTAGGGTCAGAAAATCATTTCAACATGTCTTCCAAAATTTCGCTTCTATGTACCACAATCATACGTATACCCTCCAGGATATGGAATTTCCAATTCATACATGGTTTAAATAGGTATCTACATTTTGGTTGGTATCATTAAAATTACTTAGACTATCTCTCATCATCTTCAACATCAACATCATACAATGCTTCTTCAACTTTAGTACAACTTGTATATTGACCAGGTCTACATGGCAGTGTTCTAGTTCATTCGATACAGGTGTTCGATGATCGTCCTTCGTAACAGCTGTGCTAGTACTGGGAACTGGTGTGTTTGACTGCAATGTTTCAAAATCCACACACAGTGGCTCAACCGTTTTCGCGTCAGGTTCATCGGGAGACTTCTTCAGATTCACAGATTGTGCTTCACCAACAGTCTACACTGACATGGACTTCTTCTTTGTTGTTAAATCAAAACATAGAATCTTGAAACCAGGTGTGTCATAAATATCATCATCTATAATATTAACCTCAAAATCATTTAGGTCAACTTCCAATTTGTGAGGCCTTTCTCTTTTTGGGAAAGAAGATTCCTAACCCTAATTCTAAAAATTCAGTTGTTTACTGTTCCTTCTGACAGACAAATTTCTTGTACAAAAGTTAAAAATTCGCACGTCACTTATTTTCTTTATGAGTCGAGCGAGTCACGTAACTTGTTGTAAACAAAACAAAGTCAAAGACATGTTTGCATTATTCTTCACTGTAAACGAGTGCCATTTCTTTCGCTGAGAATGAATTCTGTAACAAATTTTGTCATCAGGGATCTGGTTCAAGCTGTTAATGAGCATAGATGCTGGTGTCGCGACCACTTTTTTTGTTATTGCAATGACCAGTTTCATCGTTACATTTGATGGTTGGTGCTAACGTTGGAATGAAAGTGTGTCGTGTATTACAGTTCATCCAAATAGGGAGGGAGTTCAGAGAGGGAACAGCCAACACGCATTTAAAAGGAAACTTGAAAACTTACGTTATTAAATATAATATTAGGTTTTGAGGGCTGCTGGGTCCAATCATGTACTAAATCAACTAGAGTCATATCATGCAGAATTTGATTTGCTAGTGCTTAAAGCGGGGGACTCGTCACCTGAGCATGCGCCAGATAGTCATATTGTGTCATTGGTTACAAACAAGCGTCCACCTATGAGCCTTTGCGTTTTAGCGTGTGTTATTATCGAAGCTTGGGACTCATTTTCCGCGCGTGCGCAGGTGACGACCGCTTTAATCCATTTTTACCACCATGGATACTCTTTCGACATTGGCTGTTTATTCTATTGATTTTGCTCTTGAGCTAACCAATAACAGACGTTAAAACGTGCACAAAATGGCCATGCTATAATATCTTCCAAATAACTACTTCTAAATGTCAATTTATTTCTATAGAAACTCACTAATTTTTTGTAAAATATACTGTATTCATGGTGGAAATTGGTTACATTGTTTTGTCAAAATACATCTCAAATACATCTAGAATCAGGGGTTTTTTTGACAAGTGGGTCTTAAATTCGTCGTGTCAGACTCAAACCACTAATAAACAGACAAGCAAGGCGGGTATTTATTTTGATATAACGTGTGTCTCAGGTTTACTTTAGCAATGACGTTTGAATCTTATAAACAACTGTGGGAGATAAGAACATGTCCACTAGGT